ACTGCTGAGCTGCTGAATCCACATGGGGCACAATTAACTGATAAGAGTAAACTAATTGTTATTCATATTAAATTAGAGCACAGGTGATTTGGAAAATCTATAGACCCTCCCATATGTTTGGTGATTTTTGTTTTGTTTTTGCTTTGTTTTGTTTAATTTTTACCTTTTTCCCACAGCAGATTGCAGCTCTCTACAAGCCTGTTCCAGAATTCAAGTTATAAAACTGGGCACCATTATTCCTTGAATAATGGTGTGGGAAAAAAAATTGTAAACCAAGTGTAAGAGGATTTAATCTCTCATTATTGCATATAAGTTGTCTTACTATTAACTACTGGGAATTGTTGGGGTTATGGGGAAAGTTGCTTGCCTTAACATCAGTTGCAGAGGTGCAGCTTAAGGGAAATGTTTTATGTGTAAAGGTACTAAGATCGTTTTTCAGAGAGATGCAGGAAACCTTCTGAGGATGTGGAGATATTGAAGGAAGAACTGGGAAGCGGCTTGTTCATTTTCTATTTGGGAGGGGAGAGCTAAAGATCAGAATTTAGAAGGTTCTCCTATCCCAACTCTCCCTAACGTTAAACCATAGTCTGCTCTCTGCAGCTAATTGACTCTTCCTGGACTTCTGAATGTCAAGGAATGTCAGCACGTTTTCAGGATTTAGTCTCTGATGAGAAGCAACAGTAAATAAACAGTCCAGTGTAGAACTGGCAAAAACTGAAGAGCTTGGGTGAGTTGTTCTTTTTTTAATCCTCTATAGTTCTTAATCGAATTTTGTTAAAAACATATATTTAGGTATTCGTGATCTGCTCCGCTCAAGGCCACTTTAAGTAGTGTTCAAAAGCCATAGCTACAATCGATGCGACAATCAATCATTTGCTACAATCAATGGGAGGCTCTACTCACAGTTTTTCATGCCCTTAACACCTCCTCTATGGACTATTCTAATGTGGCTGCCCGTGTAGCTGCAATTGATGCAAAATGTGGCATGGCACTTGTACGTGCTCCTAAGAGGGCACAAATAACACCTATGCTCCATGAGCTGCGTTGGTTTCCCATGTGCTCCCAGGTCCAATACAAAGTGCTGGTTATAACAGCCTGCCACAACATGGAGCCAGGTCATCTGAGGGACCACTTCTTTCTGAGGACATCTACCTGTCCAGCAGAAGAGGTATGTTGCTGGTCCTGTCTGACCTTCTAGAACAGGTAAGTTTTTATAATCCTCTGGAAGCTCAGGAGATTGCAAAGTGTCTTGGATGTTGGGCAGTGTATCAATTTATGATGGTCACCCAATCAAGTCAGATGTTTCGACTGGATTTGACATGAGAGTGGAGGTTCATTCTCCGAGCTGGTGCATTGGTTTCCGAACATTGCATTATCAGGCTAGGTAACATCTTCAGTGGAGTTTAGGGGATCCCCTAAAGTCCACTGAAGATGTTACCTAGCCTAGTAATGAGACTTTCAGAAACCAACTCACAAGTTTGGAGAACAAACTTCCACTCTCATCCTACACCTGAGCTACAGATATTCACTGCTATGGATCTGGCATTTTTATCCACCAGTCAAGTTCTTCTCATGGACCTGGGATAGATCAGATGTTGTTGTTATTGTTGTTGTTGTTATCCACACAGCAATGTGAAATCACAGCTGCCAATTCTTTAACTGGTGTTGGCCTTCGTTCCAATCAAGTTCTTCCCAAGAGCCTAGGATGTTGCAATGTATCACTGTAGTCTATGCGTGGATCCAAACAATGTGGTCTTTTATAGTGGACAGAGAGAAATGTTGTCAATGCGCAGATTTTCTAAGTGCCATCCAAGATTTTGGGGGATGGCACCCAGTGTGCAGATGACATTAGGATTATTGTTGTTATCCTTGCTTTGAGGGTAAGCTCTTCCTACTTTTGCCACCCTCTTGTCACACCTGCTGATAGGGGGAAGACCTTGGGCAGAGTGTTCTCCTTTTCCAAATCAAGCCTATGACTTTTCGTTACTGCCTGATCCATTCATTTTTGTATCTGCTGATTGAATCACAGGTGGAGATCTGCACATACACACAAAAAAACAACCCACATCCCATAGGTCTGTAAGAAGAGGCCAGCGGAGGTAGGTCAAAGGATCAACTAATCTAGGCAGGCTATTATATCTCTCTGCCAACATCTGCAGTCTGTTTCACAGAAAAAGAAAACTCCAGAGAAACCACATAGCAAATTCGAACACAGCTTTGCTATCTATCTATTACAACCTGGATAATCAATCTTCCCCCTTTTTTCCCCCTAAAATAAGATTGGTTGCCTTGGTCCATCAACAAGACTGTAGCTCAAAAATCTTTGAGCGTGGCCTCAGGACAAACATTGATTCCGGCTAAACTACTTAATGCATTTATTATGCATGGAAGGCTACCGGCTCACAGTTACCTTTATCCATTTGGGGCTAATGATCTATGGCTACCTGAACAAATTCTGGCAAACGTTTGCAAACAAGGAGTTGACTAAGTCACGGAAAGCCAGCCGGAGTGATTCAGTAACCGCTGGACACGTCATCCACAGCCATTGCTTCTCTCTGATCACTACCTTGGCTAAAGGCCAGGATGGAGATTGTTTGGGGACTAATGTCTCCTGGTGAGCAGTAAATCACACGCCTTTATAAAGTGTCCTCAGTAGGATTTTATTTCAGCGCCAAGAAAGACTCACCAAATAAAACCCACAAACAAAAGAAAAAAAAGATATCTTAGTCTGTGGTGTGCTATAGCAAAAAAAAAAAAATTGTGTAACCAACAGGTATGTCGTTTTCTCGACTGGCATGTTATACTAATCAAGTGGGAGAATAACGAGGTTGTTCATGCCAAAAATTGGAATGTCAGAAGGAAAAAACAAAACAAAACTATCAAATCAGAACACGTTTTGCACATAGAAGTAGCTCCCGTGGAGCTATACCCAGGACCCCCAGAAAAGATCAATCTAGACTAAATGGTCCAAAGGTTTGAAGACCACTTGCTATATTTCTGGTGGGTCCATTTGTCATGTTTGGGGAGATACATTTGTGTGATAGCCTCAATCACATCACACCACCTCCATCCATCTGGGCCAGATAAGGTCAACAGGAGTTTATAAAGAAAAAAACATATTTTAATCTTGTGTTTTCTGGGCAAAGGGACTAATGGTAATGGAGTGATAAAGGGATATGTGCAGGACAGAAAAAGAGGTGTTGTGGATGCTTCTCTTCACTTTTTAGAGCAGAGGACCTTCTGGAACATATCTGAAGTCAAGAAGCTACCTAGAGCTCTGGTTTTACCTCCCTACAGAATATGTCTATCTTGACTCCATTTTCTCGTTGGAATTTGCTCTTGTTGACCCAGACTTAGTTTTGGAGAGAATCTTGCATGGCATCTGCACCCCATTTTGTAACAAGGCCATGCTCTGTAGATGGAAAACACAGAAATACTGTAGATGCATTGCATGTTAAAGTCAAGTGCTCAAACCCAAAGCAGATGGCCAGTAGCACAAGCCAACTCTCTGCTCTTAAAACCCTCCACTGCTTGGGACAGCTCTGTGGATCCTCTTCCTCTTTTCTTTCCACGGTCCTACAACTTGGAGAATCTCCATAAACCTCTTCCCTAACTTGTGCTCCACTTTCACCACTTCTAAAGCTACTCTTCAGCTCCATCTTCTGGTTCCCAGATTCGAGTATGGAAGGCAAAATAGGTGGACTCAAAACCAACAAATTATTGTCCTCTCCACCACAAACAGGAAGACGTTGTTCTGGAATAGTTGTCAATGTCACCATTGACATGGGGGATCAGCATTAAGAAAAAAGACCATCCTTTTACAAAGCGGAGTTGAAAGTTTGAAAAAAGTCCTCAAGGGTATTATCTATGAACTTCTAACAATCCTTACCCAATCGTGATTACCCAGTGGAAGAAGAGGGTTGGGTTTCCCCATCTCATTGCTGCCATCTAGTGGCCATCTGGACCTTTACAGCCCAGATATGGTCGCCTTTGTTGTTGTTGTTAATTGCGAAGTCGTGTCCGACCCATTGCGACCCCATGGACAACGTTCCTCCAGGTCTTCCTGTCCTCTACCATCTTCTGGAGTCCATTTAAGTTCACACCTACTGCTTCAGTGACTCCATCCAGCCATCTCATTCTCTGTCGTCCCCTTCTTCTATTGCCCTCAATCTTTCCCAGCATTAGGCCCTTCTCCAGTGAGTCCTTCCTTCTCATTAGGTGGCCAAAGTATTTGAGTTTCAACTTCAGGATCTGGCCTTCTAAAGAGCAGTCAGGGTTGATCTCTTCTAGGACTGACTGGTTTGAATGCCTTAGCCCTTAATAATTGTACTAACTAACCCATCCTTGCTATGGAATGGAGTGATCAGGCCCAGTGCAAGAACAGGAGCAAACATTAGGCAGGATTTCTGCCAGGAGTATGATGACCTCTGGCTAAAAATCAAGAATGGAAGTTCAAATGCTTCTAAAGAGCTTCTAACGAGTTGACGTCTGAAGCTTCAACCATGACAGCTAGACTAGAGGATTTGCCAGCCATGAACTTTGCTAGCTAGGGGAATTTTCCAAGCTGGCCTCCAACCTCATGCTTCCTTCTGTTCCCAAGCCCAGGGGTTCCCCCCCACACACACACACCCTTCCTCTCTTGTGCCTAGTTGCCACTGCTGTACTTGTTCGTAGGGATTTGGGTGTTAGCATCTCCTGCCGACGCCAGCGGCATTAAGGTCAGCGGGAGATGCTATGACAAATTGGGCAGCAGAAACCAATTTGGCGAGGGGTCCTCAGGGAGGCTGGCATGGTTGGTCTTCCCTTCGCTAGGAGAAGTGCCCCCCCTGCTTAAGAGCAATAAATTGGTACAGGCCATTATCAGCATCGGGAGGAGTCCTCCTCTTACTCTCCAAGGGGGGTGGGGGCAGCAGGGCTTAAGGAGAGCGAAGCCCATCAGACACAAATGTGAAGCTAGACTCTGCCTCTTTTCCCGCTCCCTCCCACTGCCCTCCCGCCCTCCCTTCCTCGTTCAATCTCTCTTCCTCTCCTCCGGGTTCTCTTCCTCGTTCCTTCCTTCTTTCGCTTCTCTTCGAAGCCGCTCTTATTTTTATTTTTTTTCCCCCTCTCCCCTTCCGAGGCAAGTCAGCGCCAAGCCCAGGGTCTTTGCAAGAAGACAGCGAAGCGCGCAGAAAGAGGAGAGCAACGGCGGTGCCGCGATATATTTATTTTAATAACCCCCCCCTCTTGATCGTTGCTCGGAGGGCGAAAGGGAAACGGAGGGGAGATTGCTTGGATATATTTATTTTTTTTCCTTCCCCCCCCCTTCCGAAAAAAATAAAAATAAATAAATAAGGCAAGCAAGCAATGGGAAGCAGCAGTTTGGAAGCACCTCGTGCAAGGCGATGTTTTGAATCGTGCCTCTGTTTTCAAGGATTAAAGGATGAATAGGCACGGCTGCGATGAAGAGAGAAGGCGATTCAAGCTCCCCGTATAAGGTACCTCTCTCTTTCCCTCCTCTCCCCCCTCCCCACAACCCTCTTCTCCCCCCCCCCCTTATTTCTTTTGCAGAACTAGACACAGATCCTTTATGCTCCGGGAATCAGTCTCTGTGGGGGAGAGAGAGGCAGGAGCAGAGAATAGGCTGGTCTTAGGTTGAAAAGATGCGGTGGATTCTTGGGGGGGGGGGAGAGGGCAAAAGGCTTTGGGGCGCTGCTGTTGAGCTCTCGGAGCTATTGAGGAGTTGCTAGGGAAGGTGGGGATGAAGTCCACGGGGTCTTCATTGTTGAGTTGAAAGCCTTTCCCTGGCTGGCCCCTTTGTAGCCAGACCGAATATCCCCCCCACCACCTTTCTCCACCCTTTTTCTCTCCCTTCGACTTGGGTGTTCTTTCCCTTTGACCACACCACGTTGCTAGTCTTCCTTCTCTGCCCCCCCTCCCGCCCCGAATGGTTTCGTGGTGGACAACCGTTACAGACGTGCCTCGGACAAAGCACTGCAGCCTTCTTGACACCCCACCCCGCCACGCACCCGCGCGGCACACACAAACCCACGTCAATACAGGCATGGAATTCTCCATGGCAAGGGAGAAAGGAAGAGAGGGGTTGGTTTCCCCCCCCCACTTGGGTTTGTCCCTTGGGAGTGGGAGGTGAAGGAAGATTTCCTTCATGCATTTCTCTTCTTGGTCTTGCCACTTTCTTCCTGTTCTCTCACCAACTTCTGGACCAATTTAAAGGGGAAGCTAATATCTTCAGAAAGAGGAGAGTGGAAGAATGGGAGGCAAAAAGTCTTATTTTTTTGGGGGGGGGTTGGGAAGGTTTGGGAAGGGACCTCTTTCTCCTGCCGCAAATAATACTTTTATGGTTGAGTCTCTATCAGGGATTGGTTTTCTCCTGGAATCTGGGTCTCAGAAAGAGAGGAGAACTTGACCAGAAAGATTAATGGGGAGCATTTGATTCCGAGCCAAATGAATGAATGATAAGTCTCATTTATTCATGAAGCTTTAGCCATCCAGGTCCCGTAGTCAGCCGATGTGTCTGAGGTCTCTCAAACCAATGGAATAGCTAAGTTCCTCTATGTGTGCATTCATGTGTTGGGCAGGAAAACTCAACCCCTTGACTTCTGGAGGAATAAAAAATTTAATTTTTCAGTCCAGGAGATGCCACAGCTGAGACTATCATCTTGGGGGAACCAATCCCCAACTGACAGTATCCACCCTGGAGAGACATTTGCCTCTGGATCCCTATTTACTTGCACTTTTCTAAGCTGTCAGTCATGGGAAGATATCAAAACAGCCAAATCCAAGGCACTAAATGTGCTTTTGGAAGAACTCCCATATCATTTGGATAATCTGGTCAGGGGAAATGCAGTGAAATTATACGTGGACATCTGGGCTGAAATGGAATTTGGTAGGATTAGGATTTTAGCACATGTTTGGGGCTGTTCATGCCAAAGGATGCCAGTTCAATCTTTGGCATTTTCAGAGGGAGCCCTAACACACACACACACACACACACACACACACAGAGAGAGAGAGAGAGAGAGAGAGAGAGAGAGAGAGAGAGAGAGAGAGAGAGAAGAAATTGATTGGAACTCAAGTAAGGAAGACCACCTTGAGTTAGATAGCCTAAGTTCTGATTCCATCCTTAACGTTTCCTTTTCTTTGAAAGAAGGAGAAGCTTCATTTTTCTCAGAATCGAATCCATCCAATAAGTAACATCTTAATCACATTGCTTTATAAAGACTGGTAGATATAAAATCAATAAGTGTTACTGTCTTTTATTGGACTGGCTCGGACAAGAAGAGTAACAGAGAGGCTTGTTCATTGTCCAAAGTGTTCATTAGATGAAATCTTGGTTGCTCACAGTCAAGACAATGAAAAACATCAATTTCTGGAGACCAGCAATGATGTAGATAAATGAGCTGAAGGTGAAGGTCCTAAATGGTACAGAGGGCATATAAGTATCTGGAAGCCACAAATCTTGCAAAAAAATCATTTGGTCTTTCCAGGCCCGACATCTAGAGAGAAGCATCAGACATCCCCAACTTTGTGTTTGGGGTATTTTCAAACATAAATCTATGTTCTTAAATGTGGACTCAATCAATGACACATATGTATTTTGGGCTACAGTATCACTGCCCAAGTTCAAAATCCCTGGAACAAACCAATGGAGTGTGACTCTGATTGTCAAGATTTCAAAATGCAAGCAAAGGCAACGGCTATGCAATCCTTCTGATGGATAGCATTGCGGGTGCTTTGGGGGGACAGTATTTCTGAATTGCAAAGGGGGGGGGGATAAATGCTTGAAAAGGAATGGCGGAAGGCAGACTAGTTGAGCGTGGGTGTGCTAGTGGAACTCTCACAATGGCTGCATGCTTTGGACCACGGCCAAATTACAGCATCTCCTAAAAATAGGAATACGTCTAATTAAACGCTTCCAGCCTGTCCACATAACCAAGAAGTTTTCCAAAGGTTTCTGGCAATTGGGGCAGATCAATCAGTCTGTGATCTCTAGTACATAGTCTCAGCCACTAACTTTTGGGTTGGGATTGTTCCTACTACTTTTTGAGGATGAAACCATTTGGGAAGCAGCTATGAAACACCAGCCTTGGTGCTTCAACGGTCTGTTGGTCATGGCTTAGTGTGACTGGGTTTTGCTGATGGAACTTGAGATCCAGCAGTTTTCCCCTGCAAGCTTAGTTCCTTCAGATGAGTTGGATTTTATATATCTTGATGTTCAACCCTCATGGCCTGTAGCTATCTTGGATGAGAAAGCGAGGACTTTGGGATAAGGAGCCTGCTAGAGTCAAGGTTAATATATGAGATTGTATAATACAGCAAGATAGCCGTAGTTTGTTCTTTGCCATGGTTCAGTCCCCCAGCTGGACTTCTTTGATCTGAAATTTATCCTGCTTTATGTAATTTCTGCCACCTGACCCACACCTCCTCCTCCATCTTTTGTGTAACAACTCTGAAGGTTCATTGTGGATTGTTTGGGAGGGAATACATGTCATAAAATTCAGCTTCTATCAACAAAACTTAAAAAGGACCGAGATTGTCATGAGATTTGATAGAAAATCAAGCTGAACAGGCCAGTTCCCATTTAGGATGAACTATATCGAGATTCTGAGGGAAGTAATCCTTTCTTAAAAAGATGGAATTAACAACTTATCTTAGAGTGGTTGCGGATACTATGTAAGTCGCAAAAAAATCACCACACAAGGTTATAGAATCTTAACTTGGAAAATTCTGTAGAATTCTGAGGGAAAGATAATAGCTTTCCACATGGGATTTTTCACACCACAGGGAATTTGAAAAAAAAAAAAGGAAGATAACCTGTTTTGTAAAATGAAAAGAGGTTTAAACAATGGACGGACTTTGATGATTTTCATATTAATCTTCAGCAGCTAACATATAAAAAAACAACAGCTCTTTCTTTGGGTGGCAGCCCCAAAGAAATTTCTAGAAGGCTGAACCCAGCAGGTGATCTGTTGGTTCCCAGATCTTGAAACACTGAAAATTTCCCACAACCCTGTAAAGAAAAATGTTGATTTGTCATTATTTAATGGTGCCTGCAAACCTAACATCTCAGATAACCATCTTCGTTTAGCTGAGAACAAGCTCAGCCTTGTGGAACAGTTGAGTGGTTGGTCAAGAGCTCAAGCAAATCAGCTTCCTTTTGAGGAACAGGAATCTGGTCATTTGAAGATCCACAAGCACTTAAACCTATAGAATTAATTTACCATTTCAATTCATGCAGAGAGAAAAAAAAACTATTGTTTTAACTAGAGGATGGTAATCATAGTGAAGCCATCCAGGCAAAATGCAAGGGTTTTTTTGTTGTTTTGAAAAAGGAGCTGACCTAAACTTCACTTTTGTTGTTGTTCAATTGCTAAGTCATGTCCGATTCTTTGCAATCCTATGGACCATAGCACACCAGCCCCCCACTCCGTCTTCCAGTGTCTTCCGGTATTTACCCAAATTCATGTTTATTGCATTGCTGACAGTAGCTATCTCATTATGACAGACAGACAGACAGACAGAGAGAAAGAGAGAAAGAGAGAAAGAGAGAAAGAGAGAAAGAGAGAGAAAGAAAGACAGACAGACATATGCACACAAACAAACATTAACCAAAGTTTCTCTCAAGGTCACATCCACTAGATCTATGCTAGGATTTATAGACCATGACAGCTTGAAGGATTCCAACAGTTTGCCAAAGCTGATCCAGAGATTCTCAGCTAGATTAAGACAGAGACCGTCCTCCTCACTGCTATTGTATGGGAGACTGCCTCTGCAATTAGCCTGGTTAACCAATCGATCTTCCCTAATTTATTCCATCTCCTTTAACATCTTTTAAACCAATCGGTAATCCCACCCAATTTAATATTGTTCAGGTCCAGCAGCGTCTTACAGAGTTAAAGAAAATCAACTCTTAGGAGAGCTCAACTGTTTAGGGACGCTGCCATATGTTTTGATTGCTGACATTTTCCTCCAGAAAGTAGAAGAAAGAGGAACAGGATTTTGGAGCGGAGGGAAGAGTCAAGACTTCTGTTCCAGGATCCTGTTTGCCTTTCTGTTCTGTGATTTGTGTCTTTCCATCCAGAAGCCCGGAATTGCTTCAACTCTGCCTTCAATTGAGTTTCAAGGAAATGAACCGTAACCTGGCGTAGAGCAGAAGAGCGATTAATTCTAAATGGATAAGAATCACATCTGTCTCCTTAAGCCGATAGGAAAGGGGTGAAGAGTCTACTCTGAGAATCAGCTAAATATTCATCTCTCTACACCATAAACCAGGGGCTCACTGGCTGGCTGGGGAATTCTGGGAGCTGAAGTCTACAGGTCTTAAAGTTGCTAAGGTTGGACGCTCCTATTATCAACTAAAGTCTTCATGGTCACAAGGAAAGGTAGTTGCTGATAGAAAACCTAGCTTCACAATCCCTAGAACAGGGTGAGATGGTGCTCTCTCTCTCTCTCTCTCTCTCTCTCTCTCTCTCTCTCT